GATTCGCGTTGCTGCAAATCAAGATGGGGATAATATCGTTCCTCAAGAATCACCGAGTCGAAATATGCGAAAGATCGATTGTGCCGATAAAATTTAGCAGACGGAGTCTTGTGACCACGAGCGAGAGGGGATTTTGGCTTGCCATCACTCCATCCTCCTAGATCTGTAGAGATCTCTACTTAAAAAAAAAAAAATGTTTTAATTAATATGTGATTAAACATTAAATGTATACGTGTAATCGCAATCACAAATATATCATATTTAATAATATACGTATTTAATTGGCGGCAAAGATAGAACATCAGCTCTTGTTTCCTCGCCTGTGTTGTTTTGTATATAAGTTGCATAATTAAAATTACACCGCAGAATTAGAAGCGTCTTAAAAAAAGAATTTAATTAATTAAGAGCTTATATTTTTATATTGTACTTTGTTCACACTGGAATCTATTATATCAATTTAGTTATATGTGTATAACTTTAATAATCGCTTTTAGGGATTTATGCACACGCATAAATAATAACTCTTAATATGATGTATGTGAAAAATTACTTTAATCGAAAGAATAATAAATATGTGTATGTGTAAAAGCGTTTCTCTTTTATATATATAAATTATAATAAAATAAATAATAAAATAATAAATAAAATTTGTTTTTATTTCTTTTATTTACATACGTATGTATAAACGAAAGGACCCTATCGGTGGTATGTGCGCGTCGAAGGAGAGCGGACGTTACTCCGCAATCCTACGCACACCATAAATTGAATCGGCCGTAATCAAATAAGGCTCCGTTGTCGTCAGCTGATCGGAGCGCGCGGCACGTAGCGACTGCGCGCTTCGCTTGTTAAAGGCACTACACACTACACAACACACAACGGATGAGTTAACAACCACCACCACTATTCTCCTCAGTGCCGTCCTCAGTTCCTCCGGCTGTTTACTCGTCGTAAATCCGTGCGTTGACCGATCGTAATAACAGTATTCGCGAGTCAGTGCACTCGCGACTCGCGGCTCGTAAAACCCATATAGAAATATTTTTTTAGAAGATTGAAATCAGGTATTCTCTCGATTATCCCCCCGCAAAATGGAAAAGGAGCGCTAGACGAGGACGACCTTACAGAAAGAGAGAGAGAGAGAGAGGGGGGACGCTTGTGAGAAGCACCTGTCAACGAGAGACGCTTCTTCAGGAATAATGCCACGGTGAGCTAAGAGTCTCTTCCGGTCGCGAAAGCGATAACTTGGCCCTTTAAACGCTTCTCCCATTCTTATCGCGTTAATATTACATACATTACTGGCGGACCAGTAGCGTACACGTCGTCGCCAGCGTTTACGCGAATCCCCAGAGATCTGTTCTGCCTGTCCGAGAGAGAGAGAGAGAGAGAGAGAGAGAGAGAGAGAAAGAGAGATATCCGCGAGATGATGTTTATATAGAATGGAGCAACGAGATTGAGAAATGCATAATAGTCGATAGATGGTCTCCTGGGACATGTTCTCCTGGAGATCGGAGCGATCGTCCACCTCGATAATTGTTGTATATTATCGCATCTTTGTTTAATGTAGGTTAGAGTGATTTGCATTGTACTTTGCTGCTTTTTATTCGGGTATCGAATGTACATCCGTGTATGCGCATCGCGTATCCTGCAATTTATCTCAAAATGTGATCTGTCAACGATGTAACTGTCAACGATACGTATTAAAGATGGTCTTTTCTCTGAGATTTTAGATGTCACACTACAGTAGAAACACCTACAATCAAAGGACTGCGGTGATTGACCATGAAAGACAATTTCAAGAAGATCTGGAACGGGCCCAAGCCCTCAGTTTGGAAAGCTTGGCTTTAGAGAAATTTAGATTGGAAAAGTTACGCTCGGAGTTCAGTAATGTGGAGCAATCTAAATGCTTTACGCAGAATAATGTGTGTAATACAAATAGTGCAACGTCAGAGACAGACAGTTCGCAGGGAGAAAGGTAAAGAGATTTTTTATATTCTTTTAATATTATATAAATTTAATTATGCTTAATAACGTGTTTATTTGATTTATGATACTTTAATTTCTTTTATCTCTAAAAGTTTTACTTCATTCTGAACAAGAATGATTAAATAATCTAACATTTAATGTTTAACAGTTCCCAATGCAGAAGTCGACCAAGACCCGGATCCATTAATACAAATCAAAAGAATACTGTAATATTAGCACCACCGCCTCCAATACCATGTAGAAGAAATTCAACAGCCACTGCTGCAAGTCAGGGTTCTTCTAATGACTTAATCAATTTTACAAGCCCCGTGAAACAGGATAATCTAGCTGAATATTGCTCAGCACCACCTCCCCCACCACCGTAATATTTTTATTATAATACATAAAATATATTTGTATAGTTAACGAGATAATTTTTTATATGAAACTTGGTATTATATATATTATTTATGTATAATGTTATTATTTCTATATATTAAATTTATATATTAAAATAAATCAGGCGATTCTCATATAAACAATGAATTATTAATTGAGTAATTTATGCACTTGCAATAATATTTGACATTATTTTTATTTTTTTTTTTTTTTTATTTTTTTGGTTGCGACAACAACAGTTTTATGTCCTTATATAAAACGTAGAAGCTATTAAAAACTTTTTGTTGCAGAAAAGCACCAATAGAACCGAACTGGGATACACATCCGACAGTATTGAAGAAACAATCGAGAGTGTCTCGAAGTAATAGCTCAGTTGGCGCGTATCATTCGAGAGATTTTAGATATCATTCTCTTTCTCCAGGTCCGCGATCTTCCACAGCACCATGTACACCAGGGACACCGGGAATTAGTCCCATCATGTCAAGAGCTAATAGTGTTAGCAACAATGTACCTGATATTGCACCACAGGTAGTAAAGATTTATATAGAATCCGCTTTGTGTTCTCTGAAATGAACATTCCCAATCTACAAAGTATTTTTTCTTCCTTTTTTTTTTTTATTAATACGACATTTAAATGTAGATTAATACAAAGCAGTTTGTTAAAATGCAGTCTTTCTTACAGCCTGCATGGAAGTTTATTATCTTTAAGCATCTTTTCTTCGGACAGGTATCTCATATATCTGAAGATTTGAGAGATGCTTATACTATTCTCTTTTTCTTTTATAGTATTATTAGAGTAATTAATTTTAATTTATCTCTTCACACAAAATCACAAATATAACATAATATGTACATAATGTATCAATTAATCAAATAGGTTTTCACGCGTGCTTTGCCTCTTTTCTAATAAATGCAAAAATATTTATGTCATATATATTCTTTATTGCTAGCTTTTTCAAGCAAGGGATGCTCATCGATACATGACAGAACGATCAAACAGAATGTCAAAAGTTGTATATTTCTCTTTTAGATTCCTCCATTGCCTACAAATTATAGACCAACCGTTGCACCTGCTATGTGTGCCCCGTCAATACCGGCATTCTGTATGGACGATGAACAATTGAACGTGTTAAAAGTGATAGAGAAGAAACCAAATAGCAATCTTATAGATTTGAATAATTTTGAGCAAACAGAGGACAAAACAAATGTGCGAGTTAGCGTGTTGGAAGCATTCGATCCATTACTTATTAAAACTGACAGTGGAAATGATTCTGTGCAAGAATATAGAGACGGTAAATTATATAATCTCATATTTTCTATTGGCACAATAAAATCTCTGTTATTCAAATTAGTATATTAAAATAAATCAGGCGATTCTCATATAAACAATGAATTATTAATTGAGTAATTTATGCACTTGCAATAATATTTGACATTATTTTTATTTTTTTTTTTTTTTTATTTTTTTGGTTGCGACAACAACAGTTTTATGTCCTTATATAAAACGTAGAAGCTATTAAAAACTTTTTGTTGCAGAAAAGCACCAATAGAACCGAACTGGGATACACATCCGACAGTATTGAAGAAACAATCGAGAGTGTCTCGAAGTAATAGCTCAGTTGGCGCGTATCATTCGAGAGATTTTAGATATCATTCTCTTTCTCCAGGTCCGCGATCTTCCACAGCACCATGTACACCAGGGACACCGGGAATTAGTCCCATCATGTCAAGAGCTAATAGTGTTAGCAACAATGTACCTGATATTGCACCACAGGTAGTAAAGATTTATATAGAATCCGCTTTGTGTTCTCTGAAATGAACATTCCCAATCTACAAAGTATTTTTTCTTCCTTTTTTTTTTTTATTAATACGACATTTAAATGTAGATTAATACAAAGCAGTTTGTTAAAATGCAGTCTTTCTTACAGCCTGCATGGAAGTTTATTATCTTTAAGCATCTTTTCTTCGGACAGGTATCTCATATATCTGAAGATTTGAGAGATGCTTATACTATTCTCTTTTTCTTTTATAGTATTATTAGAGTAATTAATTTTAATTTATCTCTTCACACAAAATCACAAATATAACATAATATGTACATAATGTATCAATTAATCAAATAGGTTTTCACGCGTGCTTTGCCTCTTTTCTAATAAATGCAAAAATATTTATGTCATATATATTCTTTATTGCTAGCTTTTTCAAGCAAGGGATGCTCATCGATACATGACAGAACGATCAAACAGAATGTCAAAAGTTGTATATTTCTCTTTTAGATTCCTCCATTGCCTACAAATTATAGACCAACCGTTGCACCTGCTATGTGTGCCCCGTCAATACCGGCATTCTGTATGGACGATGAACAATTGAACGTGTTAAAAGTGATAGAGAAGAAACCAAATAGCAATCTTATAGATTTGAATAATTTTGAGCAAACAGAGGACAAAACAAATGTGCGAGTTAGCGTGTTGGAAGCATTCGATCCATTACTTATTAAAACTGACAGTGGAAATGATTCTGTGCAAGAATATAGAGACGGTAAATTATATAATCTCATATTTTCTATTGGCACAATAAAATCTCTGTTATTCAAATTAGTTGTGATTAAGAAGTTCAGGCGCTGATGAGTTTTCATATAGTTTATAATTTCATAATTTTCTTTTTTTTTTTTATATTGCAAACGATTTGTCGATTCAATATCTGATTTCTATCTCTGTTATAGTAACACCATGTTTTTTTTTCTTTTTTTCTTTTTTTTACATGATTTATTGCATTACATTTTTTTATTTCTGTCATTAAAACATTAGCAATATTAACATTTCACTGATATTTTTACACGTGAAATTTAGACTACAATTAATAATATATTGTATGTAACATACACCTAAATGTATTTCTATTGCAATATTATATCTTTATTCTTGTTTCCTAGATGATACTGTTCAGTTAATAGAAATTCTATTGTAAATTATTGGTGTTATAGTATAAAACAAAATTTTAAATATACGTCTGAAAATATTTCTTATAAATAAAAAGAAGATTTTTTTTTACTACTGTAGATCAATTTTTTTACAGATTTGCAATCACAAGTTAGTGGCAGTGTATACGATCCATTCGATCCATTTGATTATATGTACAGCACAAACGAAAGCGTCAACTCGGATCCAGTTTACGCTGCTGTGGAAAAATCTGCAAAATCGCCGGCTATGTCACCAGCTGCACCACCTCCACTGCCTCCTCGCAATTCGTCCGCATGGAATACCATAGAAAGGCGAAAAACTTCTTTAGATCGTCGAGTAAGTCTCGGAATAGTTATGTCCAAAATTTTGGATAAAATAAATAATCATAATTACATTTCAATATTATTTCTAGCAAAAACGTCAAACGCGATTGTACGAAAATGTAACTGTCATAAAAACCAGATCATCTCTTCATGATTGCGATTTGAAGGCATTTCATAAGATAATAAAGTCTATACGAAGTTAGTAGAATGTTTCATACATTATATATCATATTATATTTTAATCGATACACATCTTCGTTATTCACGATTTTATTTAATTTGACATTATTTAAGGCGAGTTTCCATTTAATGATCCTAATACAAATATTGGGTACGTTGTCAGCCCAATAATGGAGAATTTATATCCGGATGGCACAAGTATAAAATTAGTAGTTCATCCACAATTAGCCAATAATGATAAAGATCCTGCACCATCTATTTCTTTTACTTGCAATGGTAAGTAATAATTAAAGAAATCTGTTTTAAATTAAGATTTATACCTCTTCTTTGCATTACATTGCTCTAAATATTATATTTCAGTGAATTGTAGCGTTGAGCACGTTATCTTGAATGTCGCCTGTTCCTTAGAAGATGAGGATACAGTAAATGCAGAAAAATATTGTTTAAGAGTATGGGGTTTAGCTGAATACTTTGCACCTAATACGACCTTAGCACAATATGAATACATACATCAATGTATTAAGTTGGAAAAAGATATTGAATTAGCTATAATGAGCAGAGCACAAATTAAACAATCAATTGCTCGAACAGTCAGTATCAAATGCATTGTATATATTTATTTAAGCATTTAGTTATTTAAACACTAATCGTGCTATTTTTATTTTCCAGCTACAAGATGATAATTGCGATCAATATTTAAGATTAGAAGATATTCTACCAAATGAACCTTTGCAGCCTATTTCATATGATACATTAATTATTTTACTAGGTATAACCATATACACATATATATGTATACAGAAATTCCTTATTTATGATATATTTACTTGGATATTGCATTTTCCAATTGTAGAGACAGTGGAGAAAGAAATGGAACGTGTAGAGAATGCTGCGTTACAATTGGTAAACACAAATCAGGGTTCTGTTTTACTACCTCAACTTCAACCACACTGTGTGGTGCAAGCAGTAAAAGCGGTGTGTGCCTTAATGGGAAGCATCGAGACTTTCGAGATCACGGAGGCTATTGACAATTTCGTAAATGCTTGCTGCCAATTTTTACCGCAATGTCACACAGCCAATATAGAATGTAAAAAGCCCGAAATCATACATGAAGATGGCGATTACGCTGTGGTTACCTTGAGAAAAAAGTTTCCCGATGTAATTTCCTCGCATTGTCATAAAATTCGCGATGCCGTTCAAGAACTCGTCGAGACGTACTGTCACGCATTCAGAGTTGATTTTCAATTAAATAGCAAAGGAGAATTTCCGACAAGTAAGAATAATATGCAAGATACTTTGCATTAAAAAATGTTGATGTTAAAATCATAATATATCATTTCTTGTTAATAGATACACTAATTTCATCGGAAGTAATCGATACTATTCTGGTACGCGTCGGAGCTCTACATAGACTGCCAACCACATGGAAACATGACGATTATATAGTAGCAGCTCAAATCTTTCATGGAACCAGACCGGTAGGAAATCCAGTCTTGTCAGAACCAATGACGGTCAGCACGAATTTCTATCCAAGAGTTTTATTTAATTCATGGTAAGAATGGGAACACATTCGACATATCCACTTTCCAAAAGAAATATGCTTATGAAAATGAATTAAAATCATACAATTTATATTAGGTTGGAATTTCGCGGAATAAGCGTTTGTCAAGTACCAAGGGAAGCCAGACTTGTGCTAGTTCTTTACGGCCGTACTTTACAACCAACCGAGCATGAATCAAATTCGTCAGCGGAGAATTCAATGCAGAAGGAAGAACTCGGATGGGGTGCTATACAATTCTTTGATTATGACGGGTAAGTGACGCGTACTATAAATTACCATCCTTTTTCACGCAAAATTCTTTTTTATCTTCGATGATATATCAACTATATATACGTTTTCTTGTGCATATTTTTATACGTCTTTATTTTCAATTCTAGTGTTATGAGCCAAGGAAATTTTTTTCTGTCCCTTTGGCCAGCCATCGCAGACAAAAGATTAGGTCCAGCGCCGGCGCCTGGAATTCATCCGCGTGGTGATACTCACCCCATTATAGGCTTAGAATTGCCTGATTATGGAGGAAGAGTGTTATTCCCCACAGAGTTGAGAGATTACGATGTAGAATCGCTAGATTTTAATTCGTTAGATCAAAATACACAAGAACTATTGATAGATATTACACAGCAGGATACATTCTCTAGGTATGCTCTAATGATTCTAATGTAATGATCATAAAAAGTGAAGAAAAATCTCTCTAAAATCTTAAACTCTAATGTAAAAACCAATTCTTATTTTCAGACCGCCCATTGACGAAAGGGAAATTTTATGGGAAAAAAGACATTACTTGCACGACAGACCTGAAGCTTTACCTAAAGTATTATTAGCCGCGCATAGTTGGGATTGGGCGTGCTTGCCGGATTTACACGCTTCGCTCAGAGTTTGGAGCTCGCTACCTCCGATACAAGCTTTACAATTACTTTTACCGTGGTATGTTTTTATGAAAATTATTTCTTTATTATAGAATTTTTTCCTGAAAAAGACAAAGAATGTCTCGTAGAACACCACGTTTTTCTTGTTTTTCACAGTTTCCCAGATATGAAAGTCAGAGAAATGGCAGTTGGATGGATTCGCGAGTTAAGTAATGACGAACTTATCGATTACTTGCCACAACTACTTCAAGCAATGAAACACGAGACGTACGAAGCTTCACCTCTGACTCGATTCTTATTAGAACGTGCCTTATTTTCACCGAGGGTGGCCCATCACATTTACTGGTTGCTAACTCAAGCGCTGCCGGGACAGAGTCCCCAGGTACAGGTTGGGTGATGCGTTGATAACATTATAAATTGCTTGTGCATTTTATATTAAGGATTAATAGTAACAAAATATTCTCATTGCAATAAAAATGAATTGTAGTGATTAAAAAAAAATACTTATATTTTTATATAAACAATAAAATTGAAAGAATAAAGTTGCTTAATGTGGACTACATTATTACATATGAAAACTATTGTAATAAATGATATTATTTTTCTTCAGAATTCTGCTGAAATTGCTGCAGAAGATGACAAAGCCATTAGTTGTGCTCGTTATCAACGAAGATTGCAATTAATGTTAAGAGCATTACTGGCAGTTATTGGAGATGCGCTGAGAAATAGTTTCCTGACCCAACAATTGCTAGTTAAAGTATGTTTTAATTATGCATATAAGTATATATATATATATCTCTCGGTTTTACATCTCAAACGGCTTAACTTGCAATTTGTCGCACAGAATCTGTATGAAATAGCTGAAAATATCAAAGTTACGAAGGAATCGTTACGAATGGAGACACTTAAAACTGGTTTACAAAATATACACTGCCAGTTAATGGAGGATGACGGCACGTGTTTACCACTATCTCCTAGTAAACTAGTATTTGGTATCAACGTACAGACGTGCGCCTATTTTCCGTCGTTCACTCTCCCGTTGAAAATTAACTTTATTAGTTGCGACAATGTGATAAGTCCGGCAATCTTCAAGGTATGTGTTTTCTAACTAATCTAATAGAAATATTCTGTGAAACTATTTTATATTCACGTTTTCGATGAATATACGCGTCGTGCTTTTTTTTTCCAGGTCGGCGATGATTTACAGCAAGATATGTTGACTCTCCAAATGGTACGCATTATGGACAAGTTGTGGTTAAAGGAAGGTCTTGATTTGAAAATTGTCACCTTTGCCTGCGTGCCCACCGGCCACAAACGAGGAATGATAGAGATGGTAACGGATGCAGAAACATTACGGAAGATCCAAGTTGAATTTGGGCTAACCGGACCGTTTAAGGATCGACCGATCGCAGAATGGCTAGCGAAGCATAATCCCTCTGAGTTGGAATACGAGAGGGCGGTAGAAAATTTCACCGCGTCTTGTGCCGGTTACAGCGTCGCTACTTATATCTTGGGAATTTGTGATAGGCATAATGATAATATTATGCTAAAAACATCTGGTCATTTGTTTCATATCGACTTTGGAAAATTCCTTGGCGATGCGCAAATGTTTGGAAACTTTAAGAGGTAAATATACATACATATACGACAATTTATTATATAACTTACGCGTATTTATTATTGATTATGCAAGTGTTATTACTATACATGTTTCATTCCTATTTTAATTCGAATAACAAGAAAAGTATGTGCGTAATCTTGTGTGGTATACTTTTTCAATTAGAGACCGAACGCCGTTTGTGCTGACATCAGATATGGTATATGTTATAAACGGTGGCGATAAACCCTCGGCGAAATTTCACCATTTCGTGGATTTATGCTGCCAAGCTTTTAATGTAGTGCGGAAACATGGAAATCTGATTCTTCATCTTTTTGGACTGGTATGTTTTATATAACATTTATACTCTAAATAAAATAATTAATAATTAATTTTATGCTAACATCTATGTACCAAATTTTCATTCAGAAAAATTATGTTAAAATAGTATTTAAATTGTACAATTAAATTGAATAGATTTTAACATAAAATTTAATT